AACAGATTTTAATAGCTATAATAGGAAGGTATACTGACATTATTTACATACACAAGGACTGTAAACATAGTTACCAAATGCTTGTAAATGGTATAATGCTTGTAGCATCATCACTGTATTTTGTACAGTAAAATTCTGGCAACCACAGCTGCTAGTTTTATAGGGTGTAGGCTGGATTTTTTTTTTTTTTAAGAGCTCCTGCCTGTGTCCCACAAAGAAGCACATGGAATCCAAATATTCCTCATAGGTTGTATCTAAGGCTGTCGCGATTCGTCGATTTTATTTGACTATTCGATTTTCAAAAATCCTCGACTTCATTTTGCTCGCGTCGACTAACCGGCAAAATACCGGAAGTGGTGCATTTCACAGACGAGAATATATAAAACACATTATTAGTCTGTTTTCCAGGGCTGCATGATATATTAAACCAATTTAAAAATCATAATTAAGCATAATTGTGAATTCACAAACGTTACGATTTTATTTAATAATTATATGCGATGCAGTTCTAATACATTTTAAGCGCTTTAATTATTTACATGCGTTTAGGTTAAGTACATGTGTCACACAGCGGCTTTGTTCACAGTAGTTCCACAGGAACAGTTATCATTTACATGTGTGGAGCGTCTCAAACTCCATCTCTGCATGTTGTTGTGAGTTTGGGTTTATTATAACGTTAATCTGGGAACGCAACATGTGCCATTTCATCAGATTTGTAAGGTAAATCATTTATAAATCTACGCAAACACAGGAGAATACATCGCGGTTTCAAAATAAAAGCTCAAACCCTCACTCTGATTTTACACGTTTTGATGTCCACATATTAATTTAATTACAGTGGCTATAGCATTTATTTCCTAAAGAAATGGCCAAATATTAAAGATTACGTGGACATTTGAATGAAATGGTGCTTGGTCAATATTAAACAAGGATTAGATCGCACAGCAATGTGTAAAAACAATCGTCAGGTCATTGGCGCCCTCTGCAGGCTTTTGTTGTAATGCGTAATGTACATTAGCTCTATTGTTTATAATACATTATGTATTTGATCAATTTTGTTCAATAAAACCATATGATTTCTTGTTTTTGATACTTTATTTGAACTAATTATTATTGCCTCATTGCTATTATATATGTATTTTAAGTAATTTTAAAGGCTATTGTTCACTTACATCTATTTTTATTACCACAAAAAAAAATAATTATAATTATAGGGCACTATGAAATCCATTTTATTTCAAAATTCATTTTTTTCCATTTTCATTTTTCTATACTCTGTTTTAATGGTTAAATTAAATTGTATTAATCAAAAAGCCTATCTAATTTATTATTAGTAGACTAGAACACATGGATATGTTGTCATTCTCTTACACTATAATACTGAACTTTGATTTCAGTGATTTGGACTATGAGATGGACACTTGCTTCTTGCACTCTATGTTGCACTTTACTTTTTTACTTTTGGATTTCATTTGGTTTAATGAAATATAGTTTAATAAAATATTCTTAAGTAAAATTGTTGATTTTTTTTGTGGGAGATTAATCGTTTAGATTAATCGATAAATTAGTCTATAGATTAATCGAAATAAAAATAGTCATTAGTGGCAGCCCTAGTTGTATCTCATGATGACTGCACCCATACTGATATAGTGGGAACTCAATAAAGTACACACACAACAGTTTAAAGCAGCCTGCGTAAATACATTTTAAGACAAGCACTTAATTTGTCACTCAGCAGTTTTATCTGCCTATAGTTGGACTACACCTTTTCCTGCAGGTGGCACGGCCTGCTGCTCAGGTTTAACAGCTTTTATTTAATTTGTTATTCACTGATGCTTGCACATATACAATAAATTAATAAGTAAAGCACAATTCACTAGTATGCATGCCAACACAGATGCTATGTGCCAGCATCTGAATACTTGCTCTGCCACCTCCCTGCTTATCAGTCTGAAAATGGGCAGAATTCTTGCCAAACAAATATTTAATTATATATTTAGTTAGGTTTAAAGCCTTATGCTACAAAACTCATACAACACATTCACTGAAAATATTTAACTTATAGTCAAAAGGACAGTTCACTCAAAAATGAAAATTCTGTCATCATTTATTATCCTTCACTTCTTCCAATCCTGTACGAGTTTCTTACAAAAATATATATATTTTTGAGGAATGTTGGAAACCAAACAGCTGACAGCAGCCATTGACTTCCGTGGTATTTTTTTCCAAAAAACAACTTGATTTTCATTTTTGGGTGAACATTCCCTTTAACTAAACTCATCAGTGACTGAAGAACAATACTGAAAACGCTGCCCTTTCATTTGCCGTGTCCTAATAATAAACATGTTTCTGTGTAGAGACTCATTTGGAGGCTGATAGTAATCGGCTCCCAAAGTAGGCTTTAATAATTATTGTGTCAGCGATCCACATAGATTACCTATAATGCATCTACCTACATTATTACAAAACTCCAAAAACTTACCTATACAAACAATTTAATGCATTTTCCAGCTGAAATTAACACTAGTGGCAGTAAAACACCAACAACTGTTATTCATTTCCACATAAATTATGATTGCAGGAACAGAATATCAATTAAGACTTCCTTATACAATACTATATTATGACCTCAAAATTCTTTAGTAGTGTTTTGCCTAGAACACTTTATGAATTTTGTGAATGATTTGTAAACTAATACACATAATCAGCTTTACTAGAGCTCCATTGCTCACCTGCCACAGCATTGCACTTGTGATGCAGAGCACTTGGGTATGAGTCCCGTGAAACAAGAGTCACAATAAAACGGTTCATAGAAGCAAATTAAAACTGCATGGTTGCTTCAGCAAATGCATCTTTATTTCACATTTGCTTTTGTTATCACTACTGGTTGGGTTTAGGATAGGTTTTAGTGTAGGTTGCACGTCATTTTTGCAATACAGCATTAACTTTTTAGCACCACTCACTGGACATTTCACTTCCGAACTGTAACAAACAACTTAAAATGTTGCCAGATTCACATTCATCTGTTTTTGGCAAAACTGAACATGCTTTTAGCACCACTCACTGAACATTTCGATTTGAAAGTGTCACGAAACTTGCAAAAAGCAACTTAACATCTTTTCACAGTCATGTCACCACAAGCATGTTTTTCCAGTGGGCCTGGGTTGTCAATGTTAAATAAATTTCAGTTTAAATTGTACTATTACACATGCTGGAGGCTGAAATGTGATTACAAATGCCAGAGGGTAAGAACAACGTTGAAACTATGTAAATGCTCAAATCATTGTAAATGCAACAACACCCTGAAAATCGGAGTTAAGAAAACCTCAAGGAGCAATGCACTTAGAGTTATAATTAAGGGTTTCCTTAATTCAAGGGGTTTGTTGCAGGCTGGGAACTGTGGTGCACTTGCTGTATTTAATTAAGTATGCATATCAAGTGTCCATTAGAGTGCACTAAACTACGGCAACAGCTGAAACAATTTGTCCGAGGGCTTTAATTTCTGATGAGTCAATTACCAATTGCATGCAGGTTATTTACCCTTCCGATTAAGTCTGCATTCCTGTATGACCACAGATCTGGATTACATTCATCATATGAGCAGTTTGTAGCTCTGTACAGACAGCAATCTGTCATCTCACCCTGTGTCCTCAGCAAATGCTCTGACCAGACTGCTGCCGTCAGAAACGATCCACTGTCATTAAAGGCATGACTAATATTGGGAAAACAGCTGTGGGGTTATGAACCAGAATAGACTGACTGACTGCATCAGTCCTGTTTGTTTATGCATTATGTACTACCAGTATGGTACAATTTTTTAACACAATTTATTTTTGATATTTAAAAGATGGATTTAAAGTAGTGTCCCAGAAGCTATCATTCTGTGGATCAAATGCATCCATTTGAACACATAGTAATACAGTCATCTTTAAATTCAAAGGGCCCTCAAAAGCTAAAGAGTAGGCTACACTATAGAAGATCTTATTGAGCGACCCTCATCACAATGCTCGGAACAACATTCTCAGCCCTGCATGTGACAAGAACAGCCTTGTACAGATAGACACGGTATATCAGGCACATCAATTAATCTGCCAATATTTGGACATTTGAAAATGTATTGTCATCAGCCAATGAAAGGGATGTATCTCTCATGGTTGTTGCCAAATATATTTTTATACCTAAAATAATCATGCAAATACATTTTCCAAGATAGAAATATTTTATAATTTTACAATACAAATATTGGAAGTTGACACTAAAAAAATGCTGTTTGAATGGGCAGCCTTACGCTAGTTAGTACCTAATGAGTAGTTGCTAGTAAAACTAAAAAAATAAAAAAAAAAACAGCCTTAAGAGAGAAATGATTATCTGGCACTGTTGGGATTGTGACTAATGACTAAAAAGTAGCCTACCAATGATAGACTTGATAGACACTAGTCACTATTAGAGTAAGTGATAGAATAATGGATATGTTAGTAGTAAAATTAAAAAAGATACTACTTACGACAGGATTAGTAATTAGTAACTGAAAAACGAAAAAGAAAAACACTAGTAACATAAATATTTTTTAAATGAATAAATGCCAAAATAGCTTGCCATAGAAAGCATGGTTAATGTATACGGTTTCAGTTCTTCAGTGAATATTGTGTAAAATGAGTGTCAGTTTCATTTAAGCAATTTACAAAGACATTATATCAGCCAGTGGCCATGGAAAACCCCATCTGGTGGTTTCTCCTTTATGGAGGTGTTGCCTGATGACAGTGCTGTATGGAGGGGGTTCCTCCTGCTCTCTCGTGCCAAGTGTTTATTGGTGGAATAGCAGGGATTCCATGTGAATACAGTCCTGACCTTCATCACTTTCATAAGCAGTCCCTCATACAGGCAAAGCATCAGATTCTCAAAAACAGCACTGACAATCGAGTATCACAGTATCTGGAGTTACTAAAGAGAATAACGCAGGTTGATCAGATTCGTGGTTTGTTAGGATATAGAGGTCTTACCTGTAGGAGCAACAGCTGCTGCTGGATCTGGAGTGACTCGGTTCGATAAATGGCTCGTGTATGAACTCTCCAAGCCCAATACCGCAGAGATGACGAGTCCGCGCAGCAACAGAACCGCTGCCCCGAACAAGAAAGTCATGGTGTGCAAAAGCTTTAAACGACCAATAAATAAATCAACAAGAGATCACACAGTATTTTCACCCAGTGGATCGGCAAAACGAATCTAAAGAATGAAACGTGTGATTTCAACAGTAGTTAAACAAAAAGCACCGAGTTTAAATACCCGAAATAAACGAGAAGATCCAACCTGTAAAAACGTAGCCAAAAAAAAGAAGTAATCCAAGCTAAAAATAAAAACGATCTAACATGCATCCAAGCTGTCCAAGACATCAAAAGAAGATCGCGAGGTAAAACTCAATCCAAAAGAGATGGTCAGCTCTTCTAATATGACACATTGAAGTAGACATCAGATCCTGGACTGGGTTGGAGGATCTGGCTGTATCCTACTTTAGGATCCAAACAGACATGTGAAAACAGACGAGGAATCCCCAGTTTGAGAGGAGATGAAAACGCGCGTTTTCCTGCTACAGAATACCACAATGAGTCCAATGCAATATTCCAGTTCTACACTAGAAGTAACAGCAAATAGTCACGGTATATCCACCACAAGAGCCGGCAGATATACAGCATAGTAAACGCCTCTGAGAATGACAGTGTCAGATCCCAGTGTGCCGTTTAATCCAAATCCACCGGGACCATCCGAAATACACGCGTGTGCCGCTCATGTCCAAATATTAACCGAGTTTAAATGTCAAGTCCGCATGACTGCGCCTGACATGAGGGCTCAGGTCTGCCCACTGCCTTTGCCAGTTGATGCAGAAACTAAATTCAGGAGGCGGAAGTCCTTATGCAAATCATTTGACAACAGGACTCCGGCAGTTTGATTCTCCCTCTTCGGTGATCTCGCCTAAAACTCTCCTATGACACAAAACCAGCTGCCAGTGTGAACTGGATGGGCTGTGTGCGGCAACAATGAGCTGTGTGCTTGGCTGACTATCGCTATGCACAACAAGAGCACGAAAGTTGCTCGGGAATGCTGGCGCCTCCCGGAAACAGCCAGCTCTATTGTTCATCGCTTCCCACTTTTATTTCTCCCATCGCGACACGCAAAAATGTACACCCAGAGAATCATCCAAGTTTTCCTCCTCGCTGTGGGCTGCGATTGGCTGAAAGGTCCCAACATGGCATAATCCGATTGGCTGACAGCGCGAGAGACGTGAGCTTTGAAAACGCAGACCGCGGTTGAAAGCAGGCAGGCAGATAATGGGTGTTTTCTTGTTCATCTGGAGTATGATTATGAATATTTATTTATTTATTTATTATTTATTTATTATCACGCTTACATAAAATGATGTGCATACGATTTAGTATTAAAAGTGATTTTTTTTTTTTTTTTTTTTACGCATGGGATGAAGAATCCAGGCATATGAGTCTTCCATAAAAAGCGCTTTTTTTCCCCACATGGAGCAGGTCGCCCCCTCAGGAACTCCGCCATGTTGAAATCACATGACCAGCATACAAATGGCCAGAAACCAATAATACATTCACTTTTCAACACTTTACATAAAATTACATGTATATAAAAGCAAAGCGAACATTATACGCTACCATTCAAAAGTCTGGTGGTCAGTAAAATGTATCTTATGCTCACCAAGGCTGCATTTATTTGATACAGTATAACAGTAATATTGTAAATTATTATTACAATTTAAAAAATATGTATTTCATGGTTTGATTTAAAATGGTTTAATTTTCAGCAGCCATTAGTCTAGTCTTCAGTGTCATGATCCTTCAGAATATGATTTGGTGCTCAAGAAACATTTATTATCCATCTTGAAACAGTTTGCAGGGGTTTTTTCTTCAGGATTGATGAATAGAAAGTTCAAATGTAGAAAAGTAACAAAAAAACAAAGAAATCTTTTGTAACATTTAAAATGTCAATGCATCAATTTATTGCATGAAGTATCAATTTCTTTCAACAACAAGAAAAAATAATTGTAGGCTACTAACCCCAAATCCCATAAGACCCAGAGTTCACATCGTAGACTATAGCGATGGATGTGTGCGATTGACTTGTCTAAACCAAGTCAATACAAATGAAAACAAAATAAAAATTTAAATGTCTAAACAATTAGTGCTGGAATGATGAAACAAACCACAACAACCCAGTCAAGTAACAGCACAAACCACCCACAACACACAACATTTTTTAGGATTTATTAGAAGAATGTTCATCATATGAATGTGTGTTATGAGAGACAGAAAATAACATACAGAAAAAGGAACAAAACACAAAATAAAGAAATATGATGTGAAGGGAGCAATAAGTAAACTCACTTAATGCATCCAGGCCAATAGGTGTCACTATAAAGTGCAAAACCACTGATACTATTTGGAACAAATCAGCTAAACACTAACAAAAGCTTAATGAGTGCAATTTTAATTAGCACACATTGTGCATGCAAAAAGTTAAATGCTTTCATATATCATTGTACTAATGTATTCATATTATTATTTTATTTAAATGTTTAGATTGATGAAATTAAGGTTGTGTTAGCATGCAATTATTATTTGCAATAAATACTTAATTCTCTCAAAGCAAGCTCCCTTAACTTCCTGCATATAGGTTTCAACTGTATCAGCAGGAGAGGAGGGCAGTTATTACAGAGGTCTAAATATATAAAGGTGCCCAAGAGAGAGGCAGAGGAAATGTGATAGTGCCTGTCCAAAAGAAATGTTTCAGCGAGGAGCAATGCTATGGTACAGTGAGGGACCGCTAGGGGTGCGCTGCTCCCATGGTGACTGAAAGTCCGGTAATAACGGGACAGGGTGTGGGAAGCTGTGTAAACAGGTGGCAGATGTACAGAGAGACCAATGCAAGGCAATGGGGAGCGAAAAGCAGCACAGAAAACAGACGAGTGGCATAATTTGATATGAGGCACAGAGGGAATGAGAGGGGCAGGCGGATAGATGGAGCAGATGTCAAAGAGCTGCTGAAGTTTGCTATAAGCTGGGGTCAACTTGTAGGGTCATGAATGATGCTGAAATTCATGGGCCTGAATGCACTGTACAGCCTCTACTAAACAAGGGTCATTCCGCTAAACTGGTGACATATTTGTCTTCAAATAAATGTGTAAGAATGAATTTAACAATGAATTGCTTAAGCAAACTTTTCATAAATTAAGAAAAAAAATTATATGCTTCCAACTTCAACCTTTTGAAGAGAACAAAATATATAAATCATTGCATTTTATATTTCTTCTTTCTATCTTGGTATATTTTTTATATTTTAGTTGTTTTAGTTTAGTTAAACAAAAAGAAAGAAGGAAAATGCTTACTAGCATGATAACCCTGTTACCGTATATCATATTATTCCCATTTTAAAGCAACAAATAAATAAATAAATGCAATCATAATGAACTAATGCTTCATCAACTCAAGGGCAAGTTATATCTTCATAAATATCTTCAAAATGTATTTAGCTTAAAACGCAACTTAATGCATTATTTGTCTGATAGCAAATTTAAAATCTTACACAAATGTACATACAGTGCATTTTACACATGTACTTTTTTTTTTTCTTTTTTTTTACAAATTTAAAATCCAATTACATAGAATCATTAAAAATTCTGTTACAAAGAATTACTGAAATATTTATGGAGGTTGAAACAAAATCTAGTCATACATATTAATGTAGGGTAATGCAATAATTGTACTTAACAACATGAAATTACTGTTTAGACTCTACAGCTTTTATATAATTACATTTATTGAAATATTTATGGTAGTTGAAACAAAATCTAGTAATGCATATTAATGTAGGGCAATGAAACATTTGCCCTTAACAACATGGAATAGATTATACATACATAGATTATACAGTTTATACTGAATGAATAATGAATTAGTATATATAATGAATTAGAATAATGTAGTTTAAAATGTAATTTAGGCAATTCTTCACATGCATTTCTGCATCAGAAAACTGCTTCTAAATAAATAAAAGCTACTGTCAAGAACAGACGTAACCCATAAACAAGTGATGTTAGTGTAAAGAAAACACTATCTTTTAGCAAAAGATAATGAACATTGATTAATTACAATTTGCATGTTACATTATTGCACATGCAGAGATGTGTAAAGTGCCCCCGTTCTCAAAACACAGACGATACTGAGAAAAGAACAAAATTCATTTGGTGTTTGACTTCAAAATTACCTGCATTTCTCTTTTCAACTCAATCAATAACATTTAGGTGATCTCAGGGAGTGTAATGAGATCTGAGTTTATTAAGTCACACAAAACAGCCATTATGCAAATATGAAAGGCAAATACGCATCTCCATCAGTGCTGCTGCTGTTATACATGGAAATTACACTTATGTTCATAGTTTGATAAGTGTTCTCATCCAGATTCACTGGCACTAAGCCAAAGAGCTAACCAGAGTATCCTAACTGAAGATGGCATCTATTATCATTTCAAGACTTCCACTATGAGATCCTTACAAGACCTTATCGGGGAATCTTTAAAACTTAAACTGCAACTACAGTACAAATTCTACCATTAAAGGGTTAGTTCACCCAAAAATGAAAATCCTGTCATTAATTACTCACCCTCATGTCGTTTCAAACCCGTAAGACCTTCGTTCATCTTCGGAACACAAATTAATATATTTTTGATGAAATCTGAGAGCTGTCTGACCCTGCATAGACAGCAACGCAACTGAAATGTTCCCAAGTCCAGAGACGTACACTGTAAAAAATGATTGCGATTTAAACAGTAAAAGACTGCAAAAATGCTACAGTAAAAACCTGTTAACTGGTTAACAGTAAGTTTCCATACTATATTCGGTGAATAAACATTCATTTAACAACATTAGTAAGATTAAACCCTACACAACTGATAAGAAAAAACTAAGAAGAAACATGTTATTTCAACAAAAAAACATCAAATATGAAGTGTCATGCAGAGAATTCTGGGAGTGTCAATTTACGGTTTGTCACTGTAAAGTATACATTGACTTTTTCTTTTTCACTTCCCAAAACCCTATTTTTAACAGTATTTTACTGTAAAATTACATTAAATGTAATTACATTTATTCACCAAATATAGTATGGAAACTTACTGTTAACCAGTTAACAGGATTTTACTGTAGCATTTTTACAGTCTTTTACTGTTTAAATCACAATCATTTTTTACAGTGTACGTCTCTGGACTTGGGAACATTACAGTTGTGTTGCCGTCTATGCAGGGTCAGACAGCTCTCAGATTTCATCAAAAATATCTTAATTTGTGTTACGAAGATGAACATGAGCAACATGAGGGTGAGTAATTAATGACAGAATTTTCATTTTTGGGTGAACTATCTCTTTAACATATCAAATATCCTACAGAATGAACCTCATTATCATGGAACAGAGCATTAATTTATTTTATTTATGTATTTATTTTTTTAAACTGTCCTGGTATTTAACTGTGTGGCTGATATGCATTTCTAAGGCATTATATTATATAAGAGTAACCAGTGTTATATTAAAATTATTTATATAATATATATATTTTTTTTTTTGGTATTAGCTTTTATTATATATTTCAGATTTCATTTTAATTTTAAAGATTTGCTAAATTTGTTACACGATTTTGTAGTTTTTATTTTAATTTCTATTTAGCTTTAATTGATTTCCGTTTTAGTACTTCAACTTAGACTTAATTTTAGTTAGCTGCCAAGGCAACATTTCTAATTTTAATTTGAGTTTAGGCTTTTCATCTTATATATAGTTTTATTTTATTCGGTTAACGAAAATGACTTTCAATAGTTTTAGTTAACAATAACAACACTGAGTTACATACAGTATTCTATTAGGTTTGCAATGATAATACGGCATCAACATATTCATAACATTCTAAAATAAGATTACTGTATGTATATCTATACAAGTATGTTTAAGATCATAAAAAATAAATGACAGCATATAATTTATAAATTATTTTGTTCCATTACTATTGCAGTTCAAACAATTCCCTGGAAATCTTAGTCAACCCAACCTGAAGCAGGGCGTCTGCAATTAACTGTACTCCTGCAATTGAATGCATTTCTCTGTGGAAAAGGAAAAAGCAGTG